GAAAATAGGAAATATTTAAAAATATGAAAATAAACCTTAGAATGGAAGGATGATTATCAATACATACTAACAGTTGCTATTAGTTGCTATTCAATAAGACACACAAAAAACTACCATAGAAACCAAATGAGTATATGCCATTTCATTCATAGAACAACATCAGGGCAGGAAAGACTGAGCATGGCTTCAGAATAGGGGCCATTATCCATTCAAAGAAAAGAAAGTACTTTTATACTGTTTCTCCAAAGATTACACATGGCAACATTTAATATTATTCATGTATTTTTCACTGTCTCTAATATATCAAGTACATGAACCCTTTTCCACAATATTTTGTCTGGTCCACTTTCAAGAAGGTAATGGGTTCATTAAATAACACAACTAAAATTAGTGAAAGAAAAGAAAATGCAATTATAAGAAATATTGTGTGTGCATGTATATATATATATATATATATCAAAGGAAAGTTAGGATCCAATATACCTATAAATTCAGATCAAATTTCAAAACTATTACAAATCTCACAAAAGAGATCTGTTTGTAAAACAGATGAATTATGTCTATAAGAACAATTTTTGTGCTGTTATCTTATAGAATGAAGCCAAATAAATTCTTTATTGACAAAATATTGTTATAAACTGACACAAATTCTGGGAGGTTTCTTCTGAAGGAATGATATGTTATCATGTCAACAACAGCAGCAACAGTAGTCCTCCAAATAATTATAATTTCAGAATAATAAAGGTGTAAATGTCCCAGAGCAGAAGCAACTCAGGGTTTGTTGGTGGTACTCAATCGCTAAGTCATGTCTGACTCTTTGCGACCCCACAGACTGCAGCATGCCAGTCTTCCCTGTCCTACTCCATCTCCTGGAGTTTGCTCAAATTCAAATGCATTGAGTGGGTGATGCTATCTAGCCATCTCATTCTCTGTTGCCCCCTTCTCCTTTTGCCCTCAATCTTTCCCACCCTCAGGGTCTTTTCCAGTAAGTTGGCTCTTCATATCAGAGAGCCAAAGTGTTGGAGCTTCAGCTTTAGCATCAGTCCTTCCAATGAATATTCAGGACTGATTTTCTTTAGGATGGACTGGTTAGATCTCCTTGCTGTCCAAGGGACTCTCAAGAGTCTTCTTCAACACCACAGTTCAAAAGCATCAGTTCTTTGGCGCTCAGCTTTTTTTAATGGTCCAACTCTCAGATCTGTACACGACTACTGGAAAAACCCCATAGCTTTGACTAGATGGGCCTTTGTTGGCAAAGTAATGTCTCTGCTTTTTAATATGTTGTCTAGGTTGGTCATAGCTTTTCTTCCAAGGAGCAAGCTTCTTTTAATTTTATGGCTGCAGTCACCATCTACACTTATTTTGGAGTCCAAGGAAATAAAGTCTGTCACTGTTTCTACTGTTTCCCCATCTATTTGCCATGAAGTGATGGGACTGGATGCCACAATCTTCAGTTTTTGAATGTTGAGTTTTAAGCCAACTTTTTCACTCTCCACTTTCACTTTCATCAAAGGGTCTTCACTTTATGTCATAAACGTGGTGTCATCTGCATATCTGGGCATCAATTCTTCCAATGAACATTCACAACTGATTTCCTTTAGGATGGACTGGTTGGATCTCCTTGCTGTCCAAGGGACTGTCAAGAGTCTTCTGCAGTGCCACATTTTGAAGGCATTAATTCTTTGGTGCTCAACTTTCTTTATGGTCCAGCTCTCCTATCCTTTTGGTGACTTGGCTTTAGGCAGCCCAGCCCTGGAGCCTACAGGCCCTAGGGATGGGCTAGTAGGAGGCCTCCAGGAAGGCTCACACCAATGAGTACTTGCCAGAACTGCTGCTGCCAGCGTCTCTGTCCCCACAGTGAGCCTCAGCCACCTCCACCTCCACAGGAGACCCTCCAGGACTAGCAAGCAGGTCTGGCCCACTCTCTTATGAGGTCACTGATGTTTTTCCCTGGGCCCTGGTGCACACAAGGTCTGTTTCCTCCAGTCGTGTGGCATTCCAGTGCACAAACCCCTCTGGCCTTCAGAGCTGGATTCTCTGGGGACACCTCCTCCCATTGCCTGACTCAGTCTGCGAAGCCTGACGTAGGGCTCAGGACTTTCACGTCTAAGGGCAAATTCTGTGGTACAATGATTTTCCTTTCTGTGGGTCACCCACCTGGGGGGTATGGGATTTGATTTTGTTGTGGTTGCTGTCCTGTGGCTTCTTCTTTGTCTTTGGATATGGGGTATCTTTTATGGTAGGTTCCAGCATTTTTTTTTTTTTTTTTGGTCAATGATTGTTCAGCAGTTAGTTGTGACCTAGATGTTTTTGTAAGAAGATGTGAGCTCATGTCCTGCTCTGCCATCTTGCCAGCAAACTCCTCCAACCCTTGATATCTCTAAGATCTTCATGGGGGTGACAGTTTTTAAACATTTAAACCATCATCTTTGTGTCAAAAAATCTGATTCTGAGTCATTTCAGTGTCAGGTTTATGTTTATGTCTGCTGGAATTTTAAAACTAAAAGCCATAAAATCCAAACAAATTTGTTATTTATTAACAGACAAGGCAATTCAGTATGAAAAGATAAAGTCTGAGGTATGATAAAGAAAGTAAAAAAAAAAAATTCTGTTGTCTGGTTTAATTTATGTAGGCCATTTTTACACAAAACAGTGTCAAACTTTAAAATCATATGAGAACTTAAAAACTGATTACAACCTTGTGAGGAAGGAAATGAATTAAATTATGGTTATCAAAGCATGAGTTTTTCACTATGACACCATACTGGAACTTAACAATATCTTATATGAAACTATCATAAGAAAAATTGCCTTTTATTTGTTTATTTACTTGTTTATTTACATATCTATTTATTTATTTAAGTTTTAAATATGTTTGTATTCTTGGCTGTGCTCTGCGGCTTGCACGATCTTAGTTCCCCCACCAGGGTTTGAATACTGTGCCCTCGCAGTGAAATACCAAGTCCTTCCCACCCGACTGCCAGGGAAGGCGTAGAAAATTATCTTTTATATTTAATTTGAGTTAAATAGGGGAAAAAAACATCAGACATAGACATATATTCTCCCCGGAAATTCTTGAAAATGTCCAATGATGGCTTCAAAAATATGAGAAAAGCAATTTCTTTATTGCTCACTTTTAATCTGAACAGATGGTCATGAAGAGATTTAGTCACCAGTTTAAAGGCTTGTTTGCTTGTCTAATTATCTTTCTTTTCTCTATAAAGAAAAACTGAAATACCTTGGATCTCTCTATTGCTTGTAACGTGCCCTCATCTCTCTCTCTCTCTCTCTCTCTCTCTCTCTGTGTCTTTTCTTTCCCACCAAATTTGTTTACCCTTTTTTTCTCCCTTGTTTCTAGCAGCACAGAAGCATTTAGAAGCAAAACCATCTTGGAGAGGGGTAGGGGAGTGATGGCTAATGGGTGAAAAACTGGCTTCTGGCCGTCTGGTGGTTTCTATAGCAATAATCATAGAGGGAGATTTTCAGCCACGAGTAGTTTCTATAACAACATGATAGGGCGCTTTAGAAACAGACCCAAGGTAAACAGATTCACTAAGAGTCTCTTAACCCCTTTTGTACCACAGGATTAGCATCCCCTTGGAAGATAGGTATTAATTGGCTTATTTGATGGAAGGCTTTTAATTTGTAAATAAAGTAAAGTTGCTTTTATTTTGTAAAGCTTAAGCATTTTATTGTTATATAGAGACCTGGCTTTAACTGATAGGATCTTAGCCTCCTTCATTTCAGAAAATTGTTGATTGTATCCTTATTCTGTCTCTCCATCATGAAATTGGAATAGCCTGTAAAGCAGCTTCTTTCAGTGTCTTGCCCCAGATGCAGTAGCATCTATCAGCCTTCTCACAGGGTGCCAAAAGGCTGTGCTTTGGGGAAGCCTGGTGTACACGGTGATTATCCCTGCCAGGCTCACTGACAGGAGGTCATCTTTCTGCTCCAGCTGATGAAGCTGAGTTCTCAGCCTTTGCTATGGCCTTCAGTGTGCTTCAAATTAGGCAGGGCTTCCATTTGACTTACAATTTACTAGGTGTTATAAAAGGAAGTTTACTGGACTTGTTCTGAATTTATTGTTTTAGCACAGTAGGAAAAAAAAATGATGTAGAAAAGAATGAAGGCGCCCATTTGGGCTTCCCTGGTGGTTCAGATGGCAAAGAAACTGCCTGCAATGTGGGAGATCTGGCTTTGATCCCTGGGTCAGGAAGCTATCCCCTGGAGAAGGGAATGGCAGCCCACTCCAGTATGCTTTCCTGGAGGATCCCATGGACAGAGGAGCCTGGCGGGCTATAGTCCATGGGGTCACAGAGTCGGACACGACTGAGCAGCTAACACAATGAAGGCTCCCATTTCATACACGTATATCCTTCAAGAGCTCACTGAAAGATCAGTGGTACTGCACACAGGGCATATAGTGCAGGGATATTAATAGATGGTGGTGGGCTGCAGACAACTTTTCAAGAGAAAAAAACAGTACAGTAAGCTTGGTAGTGGTGGTTTAGTTGCTAAGTCGTGTCTGACTCTCTGCAACCCCATGGACCGTAGCCTACCAGGCTTAGAAAAAACAGTTAGCTACATTTCAGGAGATAGGGATTAAGCTTGCTCGTTTCAGTTCAGTTATGAATTACTGATTATTGAGTCTATGCTGGAAATGGGTGGTATATGCAATGATGAATAATATATGGGATTTACTTAAAAACCAAATTTATATCAAGTAAAATGTTTTCTACTACTATGCAAAATATTAATTTACTTAATTTATTGGGAATTGATGAGTTGCTTGAGTTCACCCTTCTTTTCCCATCCACCCCCCCCCCCCGCCTCCACAGTACTGAGGTACAGCCATGCCTTCCTACGGTTCGGCATCTTGTGTCTGCTCATGAAGCTCCCTTCTGTGTCACTTCCACAGTAGAACTAGCCTTAGACTTCCATTATTTTCTATTCAGTTAAGCTGCCAATTCAAATATGAGACATTCTCTTTCAACTTTCAGAAGAACGTCAGCAATCACGCGTCTCCCTCTGAGTTTTCCCTCATTTTCCCGACCTTCTGTACTCAGCAAGGAAGGCTCAGGGTGTGCACTCGCCACAGCCTTCCCGGCTGGAGTTTGCTAAATGGGTCCCTGGGAGATGGAGCCCCACTGTCCGTGCGTGTCACGGGGTGTGCCGGGGAGCTGGGGCGTGTCTGTGTGCACCGGGGCCTGCCAGAACAGCGGCTGCCAGGGCGCCCCGGGCAGCGGGCCACCAGAATCATGCCCAGACCGAAGGCGCACGGGCATTGTACTTGCTGCTCTCGGTGTCACGGGGTTTTTAGCTGGATAAAAAGAAAATGAAATTTATTCACGGTGGTTTCCAAGTTATCAAGTAACCACAGTAACCTGGGTTTTCCTCAAACCTGGCTAGCGACCTGAAGTGACCAGACTAGAAAATCTTTCTCTCTCTGTTCAAGTGCGGTGAGCCTTAAAGTGAGAAGGACAAATTATCTGGGGGGAAAGCCTATCAATCAGCAAAGCCAGCAGCATGTATTTACCGCACCATTCAGGAGCTAGGCTTCCAGGTGAGGTCGGTCCTGAATACACAGAGCCTGTGTACAGACAGACTGAAGTGGGGAATGTTCTGTTTCCTGAACTTAAAGAGTTCCTTTGCTAACTGTGAAGACAAGTCACCACGTGTGACACAGAACAATTCAGGAAATACATAAATAAATGTGATGTCTTAACAATGATCAGTTCTGTGCTGGTTCAGGCCAGGAGATCAACAATGCAAAGATCTGGGAATGATTCATGGGAACATAGGCTTCTAAGGATGTGCACAATTTGCATATATATTGTAATAAATAAGCTTTTAGAAAGTACCTTGAAGCAGCTTTATTCATGCCTAGTACTATATCTTGAGAACGCAAAGATCTGGGAATGATTCATGGGAACATAGGCTTCTAAGGATGTGCACAATTTGCATATATATTGTTATAAATAAGCTTTTAGAAAGTACCTTGAAGCAGCTTTATTCATGCCTAGTACTATATCTTGAGGAGGAAATGGCAACCTACTCCAGCGCTCTTGCCTGGAAAATTCTGTGGACAGAGGAGCCTGGCAGGTTACAGTCCATGGGGTTGCAAAGAATCGGACATGACTGAGCACACACACAGAGTTCTATATCATGCCTAGTACTATAATCATGCCATAAAAGAAGATAAATACTAGAAGATGAATGTCTTACTCATAATTATAGCCAAATGTAATTTTTCTAGACATTAGTTCTTTGTGCAAAATTATGAGAAAACAATTGAGATCTCCACTATTCAACATAGTAGCCACGAGTCACATGTGGCTCTGAGCACTTAACCTGTTGCTAGCTAGGGCTGCGATGCACTCAGTATAAAGTGCATGTAGGATTTCAACAACTTAGTATGAAAAGAGATGTAAATATCTTATTAATTTTTAACCCTAATTACATACTGGAATGATACTGTTTTAGTTATATGTGGTTAAACATAATATATCATTAAAGTTAATTGTACCTGCTTATTTTTACCTCTTAGTTATAATTTAAATTATATTTTTCACTAGAAGACTTAACATTACATATGTGGCCCACATCATACCTCTGTTAGACAAGGCAGGGAGGGAGGCCTGGTGTTTCAAATGTGGTCTGTACCCTCAGCATCGGCACCCCGGGAGCCCACTGGAAATGCTGACTCAGAAAGTCTGCAAGTTCATAAGATCCTCGTGGTTCAGATGAGTGACAAAGTGTGGGAATGCTGGTCTAGACACTTCTTAGGTACTTCTTTTTTATGATTCCACTTTTATTTGAATTTTTTCAAATAAATGTTTAAAGTCTTCTTGGCATCCTAATTGAACACATGTTAGCTACATAACTTTAGAGAATTTATTGAATGTCCTTGAACCTCAATTCCCAACTTATAAAATAGCTATAATACCTCCAACCCCATATTTTTTGTGTAGGAATTAATGAGATATTTATCTCTAGGAACCCAGGTATTGGAGGCATTTTGGTAATATCAATAATAAAACTGAACCACTAGTTTATCCTAATTTTTTTATTCTTATATTGTCCGTACTATTTTGGGTACAGCAGAATGAGCTAAAATTTGAAGGTCTGCTTTCACTTATTTTACCAATTTTCTTTATTTTTTTTTCTTTAACCTTACTTCTGTATAACATAATTACTTTAAAATCTGATAAAAATCTGGTGGAAAATAATAAAACTTTCAGGTACCATTTTAGAACAAGAGTAGCCGTGTAGCTAAATGATTCTGCAGGATGGCTTTATAATTAATATTGAGATTATGTCTGTTGATCATTGATTAGTTAAGAAAACAGTGGCTTTAAGGAGTGGGGAAAAATAACTTTTATTTTTCTCTTCATTTAGAACATTTTTAGCTTTACTGTGGAATTTCAATTTGCTAGAGACAAGGGCCTAGTAAAATATAAGTATCCCTTTAAATAAAAGGGGTAATTTACAAGCCTATCCTTATTAAAGTGTACATGGATTATAATAAGGTCAGAGTGCCCAGGCCTGATTAGCTTTAGATGAATTTAATGTCAAAGGGACATAATTAGATTCTCGTTGCAATCGTCAGTGATTGACACTTAGTAAAAATGACCTGCGCAGTTTCATTCTTTAGTCACATTTAAGGATGACAAAGGGCAGGGCCTCTTCTCTGGGGTCAGTGTGTGTGATCGATTGGTCCCTCACCCTGACCCCATCCAGACCTGTGCTCAGGTGTGTAGTCTGTGTAGATAGGACCCAGAGGCTTCTGTTCTCACGGGGAAGCTTTGAGAGCAAAAGAAAGCTTTGGAGAAGCAGGCCCCGATCTCAAATGTGACGATGTTAATGATCGGAAATCGTACATAAAAGGCAGCTAGCAAGATGGCACCCATACCCAGGGGGTTTAAGACACCTTTGTGGGAAAAGTCCTTGGTGAGTCCGTGGACAGTCTCTGGAGCAGGTGAGAGGCAGGTGTCACCACAAGCTCTACTGCAGTCTTTTCACAGGGAAGTCGTGCTGCAGTCTGCCCGGGAGCCAAGGGCGCTAAATTCACAGTTGGTGGGGCTGGCTCCCCCCTGATCATGAGGAAAGCTTCTCAGGGATGTGTGATGACAGTGCACTTGTACTTCCCAGAACGCAGAAACAAATAACTCTTCCCGGCATAGTCATACACTCTTGTTTTCCTTGCACTGATTCATTTATTAAATATGCATTTACCAGGCACTTGCCATGTGGTGGTACTGGGCGTGTCTGTAGAAGGGGAGCAAGGCATCTATGCTTTGAACCCTGCATTGAAAGGAAAGACAAATAATACTGATTAGATAATTACCTTATTATACATTTTTATAAAGAACTTCATGTATATTATCCTTTTTACCCCTCATGATAACAATAATATGAATTGGCTGACAATACTCTCGCTGTTACAAGCACTGCTGGGCATTTTATGTATATCAACTAATAGCGCCAAGAAAATTATGGGGTAGGCATCACTCTTATAGAAATGAGAGCTAAGGCACAGAGGTATTAAGTATCTTAATACAACTCATAGTGTCTGTAAGTGGCAGAGTCAGGATTTAAACCCAGCTCCAAAGCCCTTGCTCTGAAGGTCTGTGCATGTGGCTACGTAGTGTCTCCCTCAGAAAAGAAGAGGCAGACTCACGACACTGACTCTAAGACCACAGGTATGGGGGACATCAGAACCAAAATTTAAACCTCTGTCTGTCTGACCACAAAATTGTACTCTTGCCATTACAGTACATTTGCCTCAATTTAGAATTTAAAACCTGTCTGTAGAGATAGCTAGGTAGGAGAGAGTGAATAACTAGTTTTTTAGAGGCCACAGAAATGCAGAGAAAAGAAACATCTTGAAGGGCCCATCTACGTCTTGAATTGTCCCGTGTGATCCTCTCATCGTGTATATCAAAGTGAGCGATTTACCCTATGATTTGCTCTGCTTGATTTTATCAAAAGAGATGAGAGTGAGCGCTTCACAGCCAGGCTTAAATGGGAATCCAGGTTTTCTCGCTCATTTATCCATTATTCAACATTCCTATTGATTTCCCACCACGTGTGAGCCGTTTTGGCTACTTCCCCAATAAAGATGCACCCCACCTGCCACGTCCCTTCCCCACCCCCCACGGCAGTCCCAGCCCTGGAATTAAAGTTTAGTCTCTGCAGAAAGCCAGGCTCAAGAAAATTCAACCAGCCCCTTCCCCAACGTGGAATTCTTTGACCTGGAAATTTCTCCTCTAGCATTGTTTATAACCTATTTCATTCTAAAGGCAAGTTATTGTGGATAATTTGAAACCCCCAAATCCCAAATATTTGCTATTTGAAATACAAACTCTTATTGAAATGAGCTCTCCTGGTGGCTCAGCAGTAGAGAACCTGACTGCAATGCAGGAGTCAGGGGTTCAGTCCCTGGGATCGAAATTGTTAGATGGTTCAGCAAAATGACAGGGTCCATCCAATTTACCGTATTTCTGAATGAGGAAGAGACAATAAAATTTGAATAAAAATGTTTTCTTTTGACAGCTGAGTTCAGTTCAGTTGCTCAGTCATATCTGACTCTTTGCCGCCCCATGGACTGCAGCACGCCAGGCTTCCCTGTCCATCACCAACTCCCGGAGCTTCCTCAAACTCATTTCATTCAACCATCTCATCCTCTGTCATCCCCTTCTCTTCTTGCCTTCAATCCTTCCCAGCATCAGCTGAATTAAATCCTCTTTATTAAGTCAATGGTTGTTCCAATTATAGAAATCAACAGTGGCTTTTGAGATCTGGTTTAATATAGAAATCTATATTAAATTCTAAAAATACCAAGGATATGAGCAAAATGTCTCTATAAAGACAGTAGACTTTGTTGTTAGTTTAATAAAAACAAAAGTACAAGTGAAAGCAATTCACTAACAAATGTTTACTTATTCTTCTGTAAGAAAAGATGTTTGATAGGAAAGGGCATCAGAAACTATTCAGTAGATGTTTCTGGGAAAATCAAATTTGTGTTCACAATTCCTCAATTCATCTTCCATTTTTATTTAGGTGAAATTAGGTTAAATGTGTATTAAAAGTAGAAATACTATACCTTTAAAAGCCTGTGCCTGTATCTCTCGAGGGAGGCCTGGGTGCTGCCATCCACGCGGTTGCAAAGGGTCGGACATACTTGGAGGCTGAACAGCCCAGCACCAAAGCCTGTCCCTTCGTGTGTTAAAGAAGTGACTGCCCTTTCTCCCGCCCCGGGCAGCATTTCCCCAGGCCCTGCCCAG